ATTTTCTAGCTAAATGTAGGAGGGTTGCCACCTGTTTCAAAAGTAAAATTTAGTTAAATTATACAAAAGTCTTACGCTTAAAATACTATACAGTACAGAAAGAGCTTACAGAAACACAATTAAAATATTTTTGAGGTGCCTGAAGAGGGTGGCCACCTGTTTAAAAAGTTAAACTCAAATTATTGAAGCAAATCTTATTATTATAGCTCCGTTATGTTTGCGATAAATATTTAACGCCACGGTACAGGTAGCATATGACGGGTATAGAAAACGAATAGCTGCGTTAAACGCCAATTGGGCGGGAAAAGACTAATGCAAAGACAAAGATGAAGATGAAGATGAAGATGAAGATAAAGGTGAAGATGTAGATGAAGATGAAGATGAAGATGAAATTATATATGTATATTAGAAAATAAGTACATGTGTATGTATACCGCACATTTCTTTCTTTCTGGAATTTCCTCTATTAAGTTTCACTTCTTCCGCGCGTAGGGACTACACGCACTGAGTTTTTTTTATTTTATTTTTTTCAATCGTATTGTCTATATTCGAAACGAAAGGTGTGCTTTATTGAAATCAACCAAATACGCACGGATGGTTCCAGCGCCTAAAAAGAACATGTAGATTAAACTCCTACTTGAGTAGGCTGAATGAGGATGTGCCGAATGAATGTCCGGCATGCGGAGAGACCCCACATGACTCGAAACATCTCTTCGCATGCCCGGCAAACCCGACATCCCTAACGACCTTGTCCTTATGGGCAAACGCCGCAGAAGCTGCACGCTTCCTAGGGTTGCCGTTAGTGGAACTTGACGACAACGACTGAGATACCAACCGATCTGGGCGGGGTTGTTGTAGCCGCTACAACAACAACAACAACATGTAGATTATTTTCCTCTGACAGCCGATCCTACTTACCTGACTGACGGCTACCTCTCCAGACTTTCTCGCTTTTTCACTTCAAGGAGCTTAAGACTTTCCCCAACGAAATCAACGGCGACCCTCTTCACCACCTGGACGAAGAAGGTCAGGCTCTAATTAGACATTCGCATCGATGGCACACCAATTCCGAGAGTGAACAACCCTAAAATTATTTTTTTTTGTTTTTGGGTTTAAGGGCCGGTTGTTCAATGTCTCCCTGCAAAAATCGCGACTACTCCATGCATGCATGTAAAGAGTACTCCCGAAGGACCAAGGAGTACTCCAAAATTAACCACAATTCATATAAAAAATATGGTCCAATTAACATTGCGATGTCCTAGGGCAGGACCATATACTCCATCTGTGCATTACATCAGAGTAGCACAAAACTACTCCCAACATACTCCAATGACATTATCGTTATATTTTTTCGTTTGTACACGCTTTTGTTCTTCACTTCGCAGATGCTTTTTTTGAAATTAATAAAAACCAGAAACAAAAATTAAAAATTACATGTTGCCTCTGACGACATTCGAACCCGAACATGCTGGGAGCTAAGAACTAACAGCTAGCATCTCTACACGTTCAGCTACAGCCAGACATGCAAATGTACTTTCAAATGCTTAACTTCAATCACATGTCGTTAAAACACGAGCAGTGATCGGGTAACAATAAGCTGGTGCAGAGACACGAGTTGGTCCGCTACAGCATGACAGAGGAGCACTTTTGTAAGTACTCCAATATACCACAAATAGACTACATGGTCCAACGATTTTTGCAGGGCTGGTTATCACTACTTCCGGTTAGGGATGCAAATTTTGGGGAGTAACATCGATACATCAATGTTTCGATGCATCGGAAAAATTAATATCGATGCTAAAATACATCGCCAGAAAAACATCGATATATCGATGGTTTCCGATGTTTCAAAAGTTGTTAGGTTGTAGTCACATTAAAAGGAAGATTTAATACTTTTCAATTCAAACTATCTGTAATTTAATTAGAAATATACTTACATATGGATGTATTTCCCTGTATTTATTTACCACTCCTTTACCCTTCCTATAAATAGAATAGAAATGCATGCCGTCACACAGTGTTTCGACTATATGGAGGCAGGTGGAAATAATAGTAAACCTGCAACAATTTCACTGAAACTTGACATGTGCTCTAGGTTTACTTAGAAATAGGGAATTATGAAATTTGGTAAAGATGGAACGATTGCCACGCCTTCTACTCTTGTGGGCGGAAACGTTAAATTTCATCCTATTTCGATGAAATTTAGTTAGTGCTCACTTTTTTTATTAGAAAAACCTAAATATGAAATATGGGAAGATTGGATCACTATAACGTCCAAAAATCACAAAAAATGTGGGCCCAGTCGTTAAATGTGATGGAATTTTGGTAAATTTTTGTTTCCTGCTTTTCACTCTCAGAAAACAAAGGTTATACTATAAATTGACTTAGGTGTAAATACTCGCTTTTTTCCAATGTTGGGTGGGATTTTTTCATTGTTCGAAAAATTCTTTTCGCGAAATTATGCAAAAAAATGCTGAAAATCAAAAATTATGAAATTCAAAAATTACATATATTTGCAAAGTCGCGCGAAAAGATCAAACCATATATTCTAAAATTACATAAAATTCTCTAAAACATTTGTCTAATTTCAAGACCTCACGGACCGGTACTGACTTTTTTTACTAATAATCTTTAACATCTATATTTCAAAGCAAATTTTTTGGTAAGAAAATAGGAAAGTACCAAATAAATGATAAATACCTTCACCTGAATATTCCACGATATTTAAATAATGGATTATGGTTGAAAAAGAAACATTTTCTTTAATGGGTTAATCGCCAAAGGCAACTTAACTGATTACTCGGTATCGCGCCGATTCCCGTATTTCTTTGGAAATGTATCGTTCGTGAAGAAGGGGAGTGAGTAAATAATGTGAAATGTGGTATTTGTGACTTTTACTTTTCCCTCTCTAAGTCCAACTGGTGTTTTTTTTATCAACTATCACCATGACTTTTTTTCTATCTGCCTCCATATAGTCGAAACACTGTGCGTCGTAAGTTCGATGAGCCTAAAGTTCCAGGCCCCAATTTCGGTGAAATTTCAACGGGATCCCGGTCCTTGTTTAATGACTAAGGAAGCATTTTTAGTAGCGAATGATAAGAGTAAACTCGGAATTTCTGAATGTTCCTCAAAAGAATAAGTGATAAAATTCATGGCGAGTCAAAAAATGTTGGGAGCATAAGTCGATGTTAAAACATCGCTGAAACTGGCATCGATGTATCGTCAATTTAGCGATTTTAGGAAATTGTAAACATCGATGGCAAACATCGAATTTGGAACCGATATTATCGATGTTTCAAAAATATCGATACATCCCTACTTCCGGTATAAACATCATTATCGACTATTTCGACATCATGCATATAAGATGTGATCGATAAAGCAGTCGTTGTATTTAACCGGAGCTTCTACCTCCGATATGTGTTAACCAGACATTGAACAACCCCCTAAATATGAAAAAGAGGAAAAAGTAACAATAGTTAACGTGGCGAACTTAGCTCAGTGGGTATACCATTGGTTATGTAACCCGAGGTCACTGGTTCATATCCCAGTCACGGCGGTTGAAGAAGTCTGATGAGGAGATGTGGTGATCTCCGAAATATCAGCTATAAATTCTTCCAAACAGTAGATTGCCGTTGATTTTCCACAAAAATTGTAATTAATAACGGTCTCAAGCTCAATCAAATTGTTGAACAAAAAAGGAAAATTTCATACATAAAAATTTTTACAAAACGAAGCTTTAATGATAATATTTCTAAATTATTTAAAACAGTTACTACAATTGAAATAAAAATCACAACAAACTATAAATTTCTCTATATGTATGTATGTATGTACAGTGCCGCACTAAATTATTGGCACAGAGAATTTTTCAAAATGTATGCAACATTTTTTACTTAAAATTTTCCGCGAATTTTTTATAAAAATATTGTTCACACTACAACAAAAAACATAAAAAAAATGTCTTCGTTCAAAAATCTGGAAAATTCAATAAATTTGCATACAAGTTGGCATTTTAGTATAACAAAGTCCCAGTTTGGAGTTGGAAAAAAATCGGGTTGATCTTTGGGAGTTCATTTGCAGGTAGTTTCTTCCAAACAAAAAAATATATATCAAACATGCTTTGTACTTCACTCATTTTAACCGGGACACAAGGACAAATTTTGCTTTACATAGTAATTATTAGTAAATATATGTAAATATTTAAAGAGTTCTATATTTAGATTTCTAAATTGTTTTATTACCAAAAACCGGGACATTTTGTGTCCCGGCAGGTATTGTCCCGTATTATTCCAGTAATATCTTCCGATGAAGTTATACACTATTTTAAAACCTTAAAAGCGTCATTTAGTCCTGGGCCTGATCATATTCCAACCTGTTTTCTTAAAAACTGCGCTGAGAACATCTGCGAGCCTTTAACAACTCTTTTTTTTCCGTCAGCCTGGAAGGAGTTTCATAATACCACTTCACAAAAACGGCAACAGGTCCTCTATAGAAAACTATCGAGGCATAGCGAAGCTCTGCGCCATCCCCAAATTATTCGAAGAAATTATTGTTAATCAGCTGACATATTCTATATCTTCTTCAATTTCACAATCTCAACACGGGTTTTCTAAAGGAAAATCTACTATCACTAATTTATTGGAGTTTACAACTCATGTATCCAACGGTTTTAGAGAAAATGCTCATACCGACGTAATATACACCGATTTCAGAAAAGCTTTTGACAAAGTATGTCACTCGTTACTCATCCCTATACTCTACCTAATCGGCTTTCAGTCCAGTCTTCTTCAATGGATCTCATCTGACCTCTCTGATAGAACACAAAGAGGTTTTGTTAATAATTGTTCTTCCAACACCATTAAAGTTTCTTCAGGAGTTCCTCAGCGAAGCCACCTTGGTAGGATTCTGTTCCAGATATTCATTAATGATATTTCATCTATAATAAAACATTCAAAAATTTTAATGTATGCCGATGATGTGAAACTTTTTAAAACATTGTCCTCTATCGAAGAAAGGTCTTTGTTACAAGCGGATCTGAGCAACGTGGCTAGGTGGTGTAATGCAAAATATATGCCACTAAACCTTCAAAAATGTAAAGTTATGTGTTTCTCTCGGAGGGCTGTTCAACCAGCTGTTTATTCAATATCAAATTATAATCTGGAGCAGGTTTTTTATCGATCTTGGTATCACAATGGATTCCAAACTCAATTTCAACCATCATATTAATGTTACAGTCAATAAAACCAAAGGCGTTTTTGCATTTGTAAGGCGATGGTCAAAAGAGTTCAAAGATCCTTATGTTACAAAAGCTCTTTTTATCACTTTAGTTAGACCTACACTAGAATACGGATCTATTGTTTGGAATCCCCGCTACCAAGTTAATTCAGAAAGGATTGAATCAATTCTAAAACAATTCTTGCTTTTTGCATTGCGTAATTTTAACTGGGATTCAGATTACAATCCCCCCCTTACACAAGTCGTCTAAAGCTCATAAATTTGCCTACACTCGCAACTCGTAGAGAAATGCTAGGTATAATATTTATCGTAAAATTAATAGGGGTATTCTCTGAGTCTTGCAAAGCCCTTGCATGGTGCACAGATTGCACGGATTCCACGGTTAAAACCGGTTTTCGTATGGGACAGCTTTGCAAACCGTGCAATCCGTGCACCGTGCAAGGGCTTTGCAAGACTCAGAGAATACCCCTAATGACATGCTTGATTAATTGCCCGGCCCTCCTGGCTGAGGTAAATTTTAATGTTCCCTCTCGAGTGTCAAGACACTTTCGACCTCTATTTTTGAAGCCATATCGGACTCGATTCTTACTATAAAGAAAACTATTATTTCCACTCTCAATAATTGAAATACTATCTTTAGCATATCCAATCAGCTGATGAATTTGATTCTGTAGCTGAATAGTTTTAATAGTCGACACTTAACGAACTCCTGTTTCCACTATTCGGCACCAAAAAATAAAAAACAAAAACTTCCGTCCGTCATACGGACTGCGCCCCTCGTGTCGATTGGGCGGGAATGGAGGGTAAAAAGCCGTTGGAATTAATTAATTAAATCTCCCTGGGCCACATTCAGTGCGGAGTCGCATCTTGCTAGATCGCCCTCAGTCGCGTTTCCGCAAATGCCGGGGACTCGTGTTAGGTAATTTCGTATTGATCAGAGATATAGGTCAGCTGCAAATTTTTAACCGACTTCACAAAAAGGAGAAGGTTATCAGTTTGTCGGAATATTTTTTTGTTATGTATGTTACCGCATAACTTTGGACCACGTTAACCGATTTCGATAATTTCGAAGGTGGTACCTCAAGGGTTGTTCCATACTAATTTTGTTTAGATCCGACAATTGGATCGTGAAGAAATTAACGATAATCTTAAATTTTTATATGAGAATTGAAGTCGGTTTTGTTTTTGCTAAACATTCCTTTTTTTTTGTATTTTTTAGCAAAATCAACAATACAAAGGAATTACATACAATGTGTGTATGCATAAAAACTAAGCAATTGCGTTTTCTTAAAATTGCATACCTTTAACTTAAATTTATTTGAACAAATTTAGTAAAAGGTCTGAAATTTTAGGAAAAAGCATTTACTTTGGTTTTATGCATACGGCCCAATAAATATAACCACACATTATAAAACCAAATGGAACCCACATTGCATATGGGTTAATAAAAGTGGATTTAGAATTGTTAACGACAATTTAAAATTACAATTGGCTTGAAGTTATTGAAGATTTTGATCCAGTTTTAAAGTAGGGGTATTCACACCGAGCTTGGTACTCGGTGTTCGATAATTTTTCCCAATGTATTTTGTTTGTGTAAAATTTTTTTATTATCGATGTACCGGTTACCGAATTATCGTGAAGGAAGCTTGGTAATATTTCTGGTAGTTGGTAAACTACAATCAGCTTTTCGATATTTATTCAATTTTAAATCCGCCCGCTGCCGAAAGGCATAACGCATATGAGTAAGTAAAATTTCTTAAATTTTCTGTTGCAATTCATTTTTTAGGAAAAAAAGCTACGAATCCGCTGTTGATAAACATAGTTTGCCAGACTAAAAATTACCGAGTGTCAACCAGCAATTTACCAAAACTACCAAAATGGATGTGAAGACCCTTAGTGTAACATTAGCATTTACTAACTGATAGATAAGATTGTAATTTTTACTGAACAAATTCCCTCCTACTTTTCTGTCTCTTTGAAATCAGTTTCAGCAGTGCAAATTAACTATTTGGTTACAGTTCTAGAACAAATTTAATATAACTAAAAGCACGGTTGTTGAACAAAACTAGATAAATGCATGGTTGTATTTTGGATTACGTTTTCCTGTAACAAATTTTTTACATATGTACATACATATGTAATTTAGTGGAAAAACTAAAATAAAAAATCGTCATTACGGCAGAAAAATCGTCAAATCGTCATTGAGCTAAAAAAAAAGTGAAAATGACGACGAAATCGTTAATTCAACAACGCTGGCCAGCTGTCTCCTACAGTCCTCCACTAGTTGAGACCTAAAAGCATAAACAGACGGCAGCGTTTATCCGGATCAACTCGGGAATTAACTGCAGTTGATCGCGATTAAGTCCGAGTTGATCCGGATCAAAGCTGCCATCTGTTTAAGCTTTAACAGAGGTAGAATAGTGCCTTAATGGCAGCTTGGCTATCCGAGAAGATATGCAGATGAATATTTGGGAAAAAATTATAGGTGATTTTTTTTGTCAAGAAATTTTGTGCTAAATTTAAATGGTTAGTAAAAAAAAAGTAAAAATATGCATTTGCTGTAAAGTAGGCGCAATAAATATGCAAAAACAGGTATTTTTTGCAAAATATGCAAAACCATGAATTTACGGCAAAATATGCACTTACGATTGAATGCCATTTTACAAGAAATTTCATGATTCGTAAAGATATTTTAACCTTTTCCATTTGATTATGCGCAATAAAAGCATGCAATTGCATGAGATTCCGAGCCCCACATATTTATGAATCGAAACAGTCACATTTACAGATGGAAATACATATCGTGTAAGAACACTTAACAGATTCCTTAGCTTTAAGACCTAATATGAAAATTCAGATCCTAAACAGTTTCAACATACTTTATTTTCAGGTTGTCGTAAAGGCCACATGTCCTATGCAATCTGATGGTGAGCCGTGGATGCAAGCTCCAGCTGATATACGCTTACAGTCGCGCAGTCAAGTACGCATGCTAAAGTTGGAATGTTAGTGCTAACTTAACTTATTCATTTAAAGCTTTATATCAATGTTGTCCAGCGGGCGGCGGGCGCTAAAATATGGTCCGCGAAAAGTTACAAACTTTGAATGAACACGCCGCTCTCTGGGAAAAAATAATTTGAGTCAAAAAATCCTTAAACCTTAATCGATTTCGTAATTTTGTTTTGAATGTTCGTTATTAATTGTACATTAAGATAGTGCTCCTTTCTTAAAGAGTCATAAAATTAAAGAAAATAATTAAACTTAACTGCAAAACTATGCGTTTTTTTTTATTTACATTATTTTTGTTATTTTTGGCCTAATAAGAATTATATTCAACAATTTTATTGAGCGTTTTTTAAAAAAAAATTTTGTGGAAAACAACAGCAAATTTACCATGGTAGAAGTTATAGCTGCTATGTATTTCGGAGATCACCACATCTGCTCATCAGAATTTTCATTGGAACTTGAACCAGCTACTTCAGTTCAAAGCAGGCGGTCTACCCACTGAGCTAAGTTCACCATGTATGACTATTACTCGATTTTCGATTATCCGTGGTATTTTTAAAGTCGGTTTTTCGTTCAATAAGAAAGCGCGATTAGTTTATGGTCGCTTATTGAAAGAGAAATCGACATTCACAATATCATGGAAAATCGATAATCGAGTAATATTCGTTTATATGCTACATTCGACACTCGCAAAAACCGAACTTCGCTCTGGCTTCTGCAGCAGGCTAAACTCGTACCTGAGCAGAGTGAACGCAGAGGTGCCCAGCGAATGCCCGGAATGCAGAGTCGCCACATGACTCATGGCACCTCTTCGCATGCCCCATTAACCCCACCCAGCTAATGTCCCTGTTGCTATGGACCCGGCGGAAGTTGCACACTTCCTGAGCGGGGTTTAGTAGTCTTAAAAGAACAACGACAGAATCCATCGTCGTCCACTTTTTGAAGTGAAACTTCTTTAGCGGCGGTTGGTTGGTTGGGAGTAAATTGGCAAATTCAACGGAAATGGTCCAACGGAAATGGTTGGGACGGAAATAAGTGCTTGAATGCATATACATATGTTATTAATTTCACAAAAACTTGCTAATAAAAGGTTAAAGAATAACACTTAGAAAACGACCAATACAAGAATGAAAGTAAAGGTGGGCACATACATAGATAAAGAAAAGGAAGAGGGCAAAGGTACAAATGAAAACGAAAACAAAGATGCGTAAAGATAAAGGCAAGAATTAAGACCAAGGTAAATTTAAACACTTTACTTATATAAGAGCAAAGGTGAAGAGGAATATGTGGATGAAGAAAATGATTAACATAAAAGTAAAAACAAAGATAAATATAACGAAAAAGATGAGGATAAGGATATCGATAAAAGTAAAGAAGAAAGATAGAGGAAGAAAGATTAAAATATAGGTAATAATAGAGAGAAGTATATTAGTAGATATACAGAGACACAATCTGTGAACTATTTTGGGGTTTTAGAGATTTTCGGGATTCTCGGGACTTATCGATATAATAATCGATATTTTTATCGGTTATGTTATCGATATTCTTATCGATATTTTTATCGTTTTTCTAATCGATTTTTGTTATCGATTATTAATCGGTTGTTTTCGATAATTTTATCGATTTTGTCATCGATTTTGCTACCAATATTATTATCGATTTTGCTATCGAAATTTTTATCGATTTTGTTATCGTTTATTTATCGATTTTGTAACCGAATTCGTTATCGATTATTTATCAATTTTGTTGTCGATGTTTTTATCGATTTTGATATCGATATTTTTACCGATTTTGTTATCGATATTTTGTTACTATCGATGTTACTATCGAATACAGAATAACGTGAATGTAATTAGAACGAAAAGGGGTAGATCCCTACTAGATAGAAAAAAGACAAAAAATATAACCTTAATCAAATTATTAACAGCTATTTCGTTAGCTGTCGTTTTTTATTACAGCGGGCACATCTATACTAATATATACAATTTTGTTGAAAGCCGGGTTGTGTTCTGTTCGAAAGCTTGAGAACAGCCGTACCGACTTTTCGAAGTTTTGGACACCTATTTCCGACTTTCCAAGCATGGTTATAGACTAAAAATAATATGGATATGTCATGGGGGCGTGGCACCTCCCATACAAACTGAATTTTTCATACTGCATATGAAGAGGAGTTTGCAGTAGAATACTAGAAGTTGGTATGAAGATAGTATATGAAATCAATCCTATACTTAGTAGAAAAGTGGCGGTTATTGGAAAAAGGGGCGTGGTACATACTGAAACTTATATAATGCATATTTCTGCAGGGGTTTATAGATCATACAAGTGGAACTATCGTACAGAATATATCTAGAGGTATTTGAGGAAGGATACGGGAATCATTTGTGGAGATTTATGTTAGTAATATTTTACTGTAAGAGAAAAAAGTGAGTTGGTGGAAAAGAGAAGCTTTCTCGTAGTTGAAAATAATCTTGCAATTACGTGTAATAAAATGTTCAAAATCTGGCCTCTGTGTGACATGATGATTCAGACTTTTTGTCAAAAACTTCAGGTAGTTTCTGAAGTAATTTTCTAGAACTGCATATATATTTATTTCTTAACATTTCGAATACATTTTGCTACTAAAACTGGGTGATAGCACGTTCTGAAGGTTATTACTAAGTCTTTGATATATAGTGTGGAAAAATCATTGGAAGCTCATAGGATCATCTTGGATATAGAGTTGTCAAACCGCTGTTATCAAAAATGTGAGGAATTTATATACGTAGCAAGAAATGGTGGTGGGTTATGAATCTCCACGTACATGCTTGATATGAGTATATATATCTAACCGGTTGAGTTGACATGTTTTGTCGAGCGAAGATTCTTTCCGACCAATTAGCTATTAGAAGACATATTATTCGAAAAGAGCCACCCATCCGGTTCTATCGTAGCAGATCCAAATCCAAGGCATAATTGATATATCCCAGGCAAGTTGCCTAAGCAGCTAAACCGTGTTTTGTGTCATGGGGTTATAATATGGCAATGTAGAGGATACAAAAAAAACGTTATGCCTTGTCAAGTAATGTTTTAAAAATTAGCACTTATCCACGCCAATGCCCGTTGTACTAAAAAAAGTACACTTCCATTAAATTTTCTAAATGTATTAAAAATCAATACGAAGCAATGAACATATGAAGAGATATCACCAAAATAGGTATAGGTTGTTTTAATTAGCTAGAAAGGGTGCTTTAAGCAAGATCTTAATATATATATATGTATATATATAAAGTAAATATATACTCCTCTTTCATATCACATATTTTCAGTTCTTAGTTTAACAAGCAATTTTTATGCAAAAAAAACCGACTTCAATTCTTATATACAAATTTAAGATTATCGTTAACTTCTTCATGATGCAATGATCGGATTTAAACCAAACTAGTATGGAACAAACTATGAGGTAACACCTTTTCTTAAAAAAAAAAAGAATTATTGAAATAGGTTAACGTGGTCGAAGAATTGATAACCATCTCCTTTTTGTGAAGTCGGTTAAAAAGAAAAAAATAGCTCAGTGTCGTTTCAAATACACTGTTTAAAAAACTAAATTTGACTTATTTAAGGAAATTTTTATGAATTTTACTGAAACGACCTTAAATACACTCTAACCAGTTTCCTACTTTTACATACATGCACTTTTTAAAGTGTACAGGTACGAATGTAACATATTAATTATTATTTATTATACTTTGCAAAATACTTATGCACAAAAAATTTAATTTATAAACTGAATTTATAAATGTTTGATTTTATGGAAAATAAAAATATATACATGTATTCCAAGTCCTTAGGATGGGTTAAATTATGTATTTTTCTTGAAAATGTTTTGTTTTCTTACAAATTACGAGATGGATACGTAAAAAAAGAAAATTGGATACATTTGGATACACTTTTTGCTTGGTCGGTGATACATTTTCTTGAGACGGCGCGGCATCACTGATTACAAATGGATGTCGATCGAATCGTTATAACGCACGGGTTTTTAGAGACAATTGCATGATCTACACTTTTGTCTAACCTATTTTTATGATAAACCTTACCATTTAGCTAAAAAATAGTAAAAATCAATTTATGTGACCTTTGACCCTGAATATTTTTTTACAGATCTGCGATCGTTAAGGACTTTTCACATTTCATTTATAATGACGTTTGTAACATTCGTACCAATTTTCAACTTTATGCGAATTACTGCAACCTTGAAAATCTAACTTGACCGGGCTAATAGAACAAAATTTTGAAAATATGGTTTAAATAGAGTAGCAATTAAAAAATATTAGTTACGCGGGTTACAATCTATATTTTCATTTATGAAAAACAAATTGTGCTACTATGTTTAAAAAAATAATTTTTGTAATTGAAAAGTCCCCGTCTCAAAAGATTTTCCTATATATAAAAGCATTGACTAAAAAAAAGCGGCGCATACAAAAATTTGCCTTTCGTGCCCTAAACCGCAAGCGCCCCTGTGAGAGAACCATTCTAGTAGCACTGGACCTGTCTAAGGCGTTCGACACTTTCAGCCATTCAACGCTACTAGAAGACATCTCTCCCACAGGGACTCAAACGGTGGTCGGCGAATTATCTGAGCGGTCGTCACTCGTCAGTAATTTTTAGAGACAAATCGAGCAAACCGAGGAAAATAAAACAGGGGGTTCCACAGGGTGGTGCCTTTCCCCATTACTGTTTAACTTTTACATTTCAAAGCTCCCTCAACCACCAGAGGGAGTCTTGATTGTCTCGTATGCTGACGATTGCTCGATCATGGCGTCCGAGAATGGAACTGATGACTTGTGCTCGAAAGTAAACGATTATCTCGCCGAGCTTTCTCGCTTTTTCACTGCACGGAGCCTAACCCTCTCCCCTACAAAATCCTCAGCCACACCTTTTACCACCTGGACGAAGGAGGCCAGACTCCAACTGGAAATTCACGTCGATGATACACCAATTCCGACGGTGAACAACCCGAAGATACTCGGAGTAACATTCGATAGTCTGCTCTCCTTCTCGGCGCATACAACCGCAATTGTCAACGAAGTACAAAGCCGCAACAAGGCCCTCAAGTCGCTAGCCGGCAGCACCTGGGACAAAGACAAAGAAACGTTGCTGGCAACGTACAAGGTAATTGTCCGGCCGGTTCTGAACTACGCTGCGCCCGTGTGGTCACCGGGGACTAGTAGGACGCAGCGGACGAAGCTGCAGACTTGCCAGAACACGG